GATTACAGATATCTGGATCCAACCGATAATCTTAACGTTAACCAATACAGATCTAGTTTTTTCAAAATCATCATCCATGGATTCGAACTCTAGACCTGCCATTTGGGGGTGTAACAACTCCACTACTTCACTAAGTCGCCACACCCTTAAATATAATATATTTGATCTTTATAATTAGTATATTTCTCTATAATTATACTCTTTTGTATTCTGTAGATATAACTATATAGAGGTTTAACTATATAATAATATGTAATACAATACTTTTAATAAAGGAATAATAGATTATATAATTAAAAAGTAAAAAAGCAATTTATAGATGCCATGAAGTTTCAAACAAAGCTGAATAGTGTTCTTATAAATCTGAACTAAATTAAATTTTGGTCAAGTTCAAGTTCAGGTTCAATTCAGTCATATTCAATATTAAACTTTTAAGTCAAAGTTCATGTTTAATTTAGGTTTAGTATTAAACTTTTAAGTTAGGTTTAGATTTAGTTAAAGATTTATAAACATGTTAAGGTTTAATAGTAGTTCAGTAACAAAAAATATTAAAATTTTTTTTATTGTTTTTAGAATTTTCAAAATTGATATTTTTTAAAAAATCTTTTTTCTTTATTAAGTAAACTTATTTTCAACTTTTAAGAAATGTTGTGAGAAGTAATTTGCAATTAGAATAGCAATTGAAATATTAAAATCAGCTTAGTAAATTACAAAATATAAGTATTTTAGTTTTTATAACTTTATATTTTTTTTTTTATATTAATAAAGAAGAAACAAATAGCTATTAAAATAAAAATACTTATATATATCTTATAATCTATTAGATTGATTTTAATAATTTAACTGCTATTTTAATAGCAAAACTTATCTCTACAACTTTATTAGAAATTAAAGATAGATTTACATAGTAGAAATTTAAAATTAATAATATTTTATATAATTTTATTAATAATTAATACTATATTTATAGTTTAAATAAACTTGTTATATATATAAAAATATATTATATTAATATATATTTACTTTATAATTTTAAATTATAAGAAAAAGATACTTAATTTTGAATTTTTAATCAAAATTTTTAAAATTTGGTATCTTTTTTCTATAATTTAAAATTATATATTATTATAGTATTTTTATATATATAAACCAAGTTTATAAATATATAATTAATTAGTAAAATATTAAGAATTATATAATTTTTTATAATTTTATTAATAAAATTATGAAAAATATTATGATTCTTAAAATTTTACTGATTAATTATATTTTTATTTTTAAAGTAAATGTGTTCTGCAAATAAAAATATACCATATCAATATATGTTTACTTTGTAATTTAAATTTTGAAGAAAATATTCTTAATTTTGAAAATTTTAATTAAAAATTCAAAATTAAGTATCTTTTTTTTAAAATTTTACAAATATAAAGTAAATATAATATATTTTTATGTATATAACAGATTTGATTAAAGTATAAATATGTAATTAATTAATAAAATTTTAAAGATTATAATATTTTTCATAATTTTATTAGTAAAATTATAAAAAATTATTTACTTCTCAATATTTTACTAATTAATTGTATATTTATGCTCTAAGTAAACTTGTTATATGCATTGTTACTATCAGTTAAGAGAGCAATTGCAGATATTAATCTAATTTAACTCTAATAGTTAACTTGGTTCAGAATTTTATAACACTTGTATATATGATATAATATTACAAAACTCTTAAGCTGAGTCAGGATATCACTTAATATATCAACTTTAATTATTTAGAGAGATAATTTATTATATAACAATAAGAAATATAAAACAATAATATATATTTTTTTATTGAAAATGGTAGACTTTTTCTAATAATCACTTGTACCAAAATTTTTTAAAAAACTCTATTACTAAAAATACAAGTGTGTATAGTAGTGTTATTATAAGTCAAAGAAAAACTATAAGACAGCAACTATTATTTAGAGGTAGTTCTTATACATTATCTGCTAATAGTCTTAAAGTTTATCACTTACCACAGGTGCAGCACCTGTCATTTAGAAATAGTTCTTATATGCTATTTGCTGACAAGTTTAGAGTTTATCACTTATTAAAAAAACAAGTATTTGCATATCTGCTCCAATAGAAGTCTCAATAGAGGCTATAGACTGCTGTTATTCTTAGTAAAGAAAAATCCATACTTTTATAAGTGCTTTTTTTTTCCTCCGCCTTCCCACTGATTTTACAAAAATTTTTTAACAAAAAGTGGGCAAAATAGCTCACCCTCTCCAAAAGATTAGTATTGTTTATACTTACCAAATTTAGACAGACTTAGTAAAATGCAACCACATGTTTGTTTATATCAATACGATGCTACATCATATAGCAAGGATCAGTGCACTAGTTTAGATATACCCAAAGTTTATTATACATCACTAAAAGAAAATATCAATGTTAAGGCAAAGCTTTACAATAGAGATATATTAAATATTGCAATTAGTATATAATTTTTTTACCCTTGTACAAGTCATAATAGTGCACCTTCTTCATATATATATCATGACTATGACTTCTTTTTTTTTATTTTTTTCTATTTTTATTTTTTAAATTTTTTTTTATTTAGTATGCTCTTTCCCTCTTTTTTTTTCTTCCCTTTATTTTCTTTCCTCTTATACCTTTTCTATATATTTTTTTTTTATTTTTTTTTTCATCGTAGATAGATTATAGTTTAGTCTTTCTGCCAAGATCTAGGTAGAAAAAATTGAAAGAAAAGAGGTGGTCATGATAGGCTGGTAAATTCCAGCCAGTAAATTGTGAATTTCAAACTGAGATAGATTAAAGAGAAGCAAGGAGACTGATTTTACTCTGGCAAATTGCACATAAGTGAGCCACTCTTTAGTATAAAACAGCTTAGCTGTGAATGAAAACATGGGGATAAAACCTATATATATTCTATTTTAAATAATAAAGTTGTGACATAACTACTTGAAAAAAAAATAAAAAATAAAAATATATATATATATATATATATATTTATAATTTTGGCAATCCTTTTAAATGCTTTATTAGATATTGTAAATTTTTATATATTAAATACAAACTTTACAGATGGCTAATCCACCTGACATCTAAATTAGAAGTGTTGACTTATCCAGTTGCGTAGAGAGTACGCATGTACAACTGCTATAACAAGTATTTATCTCTATACTAGTTAACTTTATCTCAAACTAATTAGTATATCAACAGATAGTACTTGTGGCTTATCAAAACTGCCTATTTTTCCTTCTAATTTTTCTTTCTTTTTAAAGCATAAAACAAAAAAAGAAAAAGTAAATAAAATTAAAGCAAAAAAATAAAGAAAAAAAAAACAGAAAAAAAGAAAAGAAAAAGAAGCACAGATTTTAAAAAAGAAAAATATAAAAAAAAAAAACAGAATTGATGTATATTTATGCTTGTGCAAAGCTTAAAAAATTATATAACAAAAGCAATATCTATATATCTCTACTATAAAACTTTGCTTTAATATATTAGTTTCTTTCTGCTATAAAACTGAATCTAGATAAATCTTTAATCAAGAACTAGTCATTAGACCTTGTTATGTAAAGTAGCGACATGTTTGTAACCAAACAAAATATATAGTTGCAATTTACTAAGTTAACCGAATTTGAAAGAAGTAAACAATACCAATCTTTTGATGGAAATATGCTGTTTTGACCACTTTTTTTAAAAATTTTGTTGTAAGCACAAGTGGGTGATAGTAAAAAGTATAGATCTTGTATTTTTTTTAAGAGAAAGTATATATTTCTTCAAAGATAATAAGACAAGTAGATCTGAGTACACTGCTAATATTCTTTTTTGTAAGTGATAAACTCTAAACTTGTTAGCAAGTAGTATATAAAAACTACTTATAAATAAAAAGTATTGTCTTCATAGTAAGTGATAAGCTCTAAGCTCTAAACCTATTAGCAAATAGCATATAAGAAATATTTCTAAATAATAGGCACTAGTTTATAGTTCTTATTAGTCTTATATCTTTCTTCTTTAATATTGTTTAACTGTTTTTGTTGAAATTTTTAGTTTTAAAAAATTGGTTTGAAAGATCATTAGGAAGAGTTGCTAAATAAAATTATTGTATAAAACAACAATAATAAAATACAATAAAAGAATATAACTATACTAATAAACTAATACTAAATATATGAGAATCTAATTCTTATTATAAACTATATAATCAAGACATCATAGTATTCAAATTGAGATATATAGTTTAAAAAAACTCAACTAAGACAGAAATCCAGACCTTAAATACTTTTTAGTTTATTAAGAGCTACTGTGCTATCTCTAAACTCAACCTTCTAAAAGACTTTGTACTTACAACACTGTAAAGCAGTATTGTATGCAGGCTATGAACAATTTCTCATAGCCTTGGTTAATAACAATTGTTGCTATATATACTAACAATCAGGAGACATTAATGTCTTGTTTATACAAATATACAATACAAATATCTACAGAAATTAATCTATATTTTTAAGCCTCATTCACTATCTAGAAGTCTTACAATATTCTTGTAGCTTAGAGTATTTGAGTATTTAGTACCACCAAGTTATATCTAAATCATGTGTTTAATTCTAAAACTATGATATTTTTCTCTTCTTAAATGTAAGCTCCTGTGAGCATTAAAATCTTCAAAGTCTTCTTCAATAGTAATCTAAAAAGAAAACCAATACTAGAACACCAATTTCTTTGCTATAACAATAGCAATTTTGGAAGTTTTTCTTATATCAGATTATTTATTAGTATAGGTAGAAATTTTTAATTTTTGTAATATAGACAGGAGAGTTGAGATTTGGGAGCTTAAAGTTTTTTTAGACCTCATATATATTTATTTTTATTCTTGTAGAAAGGTTTTTAAGAGGTTTTAGCAACCAACTTCTAGCACCTTTAAAATTATTAAATTCTTTATCTTTTATTTTAGAGGTAGTTAATTCAGATAAAAAGTCTTTAGTATACTCTTAGTCTTTATTTTGCCAAGGAGATAACTTGGTTTCTTGCTTAAGAAGAGACACATTTTCTATCCAGCTTTGCATACTTTGTTCAAGGCATCTTGGCTTTAAAAAAAATTTTTTTGTTTTTTTTTAATATTACATACAACTTCTTTTCCCCATATCTTATTACAAACATTTTTGACTTCAATACTCTTTATATTTTTATCTTCTTAAACTACAATTTTATTATTACTATTTGAATCAACCTTATCTTTATCTATTTTATCTTTATTTATATTTTTTACTATTAACCTCTCTATTTCTGAGCCTTTTACTTCATGATAATTACCTTTTTCTGATAACTCAAAAAATTTAATATCTGCTTTTTGTAATTCTTTCTTATTTTTTTCCTTAGCAATAGACTTAAATTTTCTATATTAGTTATTATAATTATATTTACTAAATAGATATCTGCCTAATTCCTTTTCATCTTTTGTTCTAAGCACATTGGTTTTCACTAAGCTTACAGTTTGACTTACTGGTATTTTTAACTCAGAAGTAGACTTAACCTCTAATAATTGTCTAAAGGTTATATCATCCTTCTAGTTTTTGATTTTAGCCACGATAGAGTATAGTGCTACATAAGTAGCAACTTTTCTTTAGCCTTTTCTTGTTGATCTGTTTTAAGTATGTTGCTTAACTGCTTTAGCTCTATTAAGCTAGAGCCTAATTTACTTCTAGAATAGCTTACTCTTAGTATATTTCTGAAGTCTGGAGTTTTAATTTTAGTCTGCTACTGTCTTGAGTTCTCCTGAACAGACCTTTGGGATGCATGCTTTCTAGTTAGCAGAATTTGGATTCCATGATTTGACAGGTTTGAAGACAGATTATTTTGATTTCTAAAGAAAATGGAATTATTTTTCTGAGTTGAATAGGTTATAGAAGTTATAGAGAAGACTGATCTAAAAGTATTTTGAATAATGTAAGTAGCTGATACTAAAGATTCACTAGAGATAGAAATATATAAATTTAAGGGTATTTTACAAATAGAATCAGGATATTTGTTTATAAATCTATTATTGCTTAAATTGGAGGCGGTTAGTTGAAGTTAATAAAATTGCTTTTGGTTTAAAACTGGATTCATTATTGTGTTAATCAGATGAGTTAATTTATTTAAAGCTTCAATAGTTTGGTGGTTAGTTATTCTCTTCAATTTGAGAGTTTCTAGAAACTCTCTTAGAAAAAGAACATAGAGGGCTAAAGTATACAGATTAAGCTTAAAGAGTACTAGGTAAAAAATATTATTTATAAGTATTTTTATATACTTTTGTCTTATTATAGGCTTTTTCTAAAGTCTTTGAAGTTAGAAAAGATACTTCTATTAACAATTTTAGATAAAGTCCTTAAACAAATATTTGAATTTTCATTGCTTTTGAAAATTGATAACCTTTGATTTCTAATTATCAGATTAGATTTGCTAAATTGTAGTCATCAACTCTTTTTTCAATTTCTTGCTTCCATTAAGTTAACTTATAGAACCAATTAACTTTGAGTTCTGGAGAAATGAATACTGCAACAAAGTTTATCCAAAAACTTTGCTTAGGATAGGCTTTATCATTCTATCAATCAATTACTAGGCTCTGGTCTTAATAAATACTTCATCATGTTGCAGCAAGTCCTTTTAATTTAGCTGCAGTAATAGAGATTTTATAGGCTTTTTGAACAAAGTTAGCTTTAAAAGTATTCACCATCTCATCTAACTATAAAATTGGGTCTTGGTTTTATCTAGTAAATTTGGTGTATAGAGTGTTGTTTAACTTAGAATAAATATTGGCTTGCAATGTCTAAGATACTTAGAGTTGTTGAATAAGTAATACAATTTGGGTTACTAATTCTAAATAAGAGCAGGATTTTGACTATAAAACATGTTGTTTTTATTAATTAAGATGCTATAATCTACTATTTTTGATAATTTATTCTACACAACTGATACCAAATATTACTATTTGCTAAAAGAGCAATTGTGGATATTAATTCAATTTAGCTCTAATAGTTAACTTGGTTTAGGATTTTATAACACTTGTATACATGATATAGTATTACAAAACTCTTAAGGATATTACTTAATATATCAACTTTAATTATTTAGATTGGTTAATTTATTATATAACAATAAGAAATATAAAACAACAATAATAAAATACAATATTGTTATTCCACAAAGTGGCAGGTCTAGAGTTTGAATCTCATAGATAACATTTTTTGAAAAATAAATCTGTATTAGATAACAATTATCTATTAATCAGTTGGATCTACAATCTGTAATCTTGGTTGTACCATCTTATTATAGAAGCTTCAGTGCATAAATGCCAAGAAACTAGAATGATTGAAACCTGTTTGAAAAGACCCAAGTAAGGAGATAGTAAATACTTTTGACAGTGCTACAAGAAGGCTAAATTTAGAAGTAATAGCCAAGATTAAAGAACCAAATAACAACAAAATCTTTAAGTAAGAAATTCACCAAATTGATCACCAATTTGAGAAAAAGGTAGTACACTAATCTAGCTAGCTGGCATGAGAAACTGAGGTGGCCATCCACCATTACTATAATTTGAGAGTTAGATTCTATTTAACAACAAAGAGTAAGCAATTCCTGGAGACTAGCTGGACCCAATTGGAGGAAAAGAACATGTGCTATAAAATTATATATTATGAAGAGACAGGGTATAAGGTATCTAGAGCCTAGCCAGTGTCAAATTTTCTAAGTTATAGGTTGGGAGTAAGAGAGGGACCAATAAAGTAATAACAAAAAAAAAAGATCCAAATGTGAGTACTAGAGATAAAGTTTACTTGAGTTATTTCAAACTAAGAGTAAGAGCCTTAACAATTGCAATGACTTGGTTAGCCAGATATGGGATATGGAAAGCTCTGGTAGGTTTATTTTGAGAATAGCTATGCATCTGCTTAATAGAGGAATACAAGCTAGTAAATAGTTAGTGCAAACCCAGGATAAGTTATAGAAGTTCTAAAGCAAAGTATGAAATCTAGTAGAATAAGCCAGATAGTAGTTCCTGAATTAGTATGATATGCTAAAAATAGTTAGGATCAGAAAGTTTAAATGGGTAACTCCCTAGTTGGGTTATAGGTACAGCATCTAGTATAGAACCTGTGGGTGAACTACTTAAATAGATACTTAAAAGGTGATGTATAACTAGTTGTATCTTCATTGTAACTATAATAGTAAATGATTACTAATAAAGAGTTCAATAACCAAAGAGGTTATCTTAATTCTAAAAAAAATAATAATAAAATACAATAAAAAAATATAACTATACTAATAAACTAATACTACATATATAAGAATCTGATTCTTATTATAAACTATATAATCAAGATATCATAGTCTTCAAATTGAGATGCATAGTCTAAAGAAACTCAACTAAAGCAGTAACTCAGGCCTTAAATATCTTTTAGTTTACTAATAGCTACTGTGCTATCTCTAAACTCACCTTTATAAGTGACTTTGTACTTACAACACTATGAAGCAGCATTGTGTGTGGGCTATAAACAATTTCCTATAGCCTTGGTTAATAGTAATTGTTGCTATATATACTAACAATCAGAGATATCAATATCTTGTTTACACAAATATATAAGACAAATATTTACAGAAATTAATCTATATTATTAAGCCTTATTTGCCATCTTGAAGTCTCAAAATATTTTTGTAACTCAGAGTATTTAAGCATTTAGCATTACCAAGTCATATCTAAGTCATAGATTTAATTTTAAAATTATAACAGTATAAATATATATCATATTAGCATGCTTTTACTTTATATTTATAAAATTTTAAGAAAAGATGTTTAATAGGTAATTCTCCAGTCGTCTAGTTCAAAATTTTTTTTTTATATATAAATTTTACTATAAGTGCAAATGCATAGCACCTCGATCTAAAACTTTTTTTATACTAAGTTAATCATTTTTCTAACTGAAGAAACTTTTATAAAGCTTATTAAAACATATCTAATAGTGATTAGAGTGTCAAAATTGGCTTGGTAGATGCTGAGATATTTTTTAAAAAAATCTTTCTTTTACTGTATAAATTTCTTTACAAACAATACTATTATTTGCAAAAAAATTTACATAGTAAAAGAAAGGTTTTTAAAGATATCTCAGCATCTACCAAGCTAACTTTAACGCTCTAACCACTATTAGATATATTTTAATAAGCTTTACAAAAGTTTCTTAAGTCGGAAAAATAATTAACTTAATATAAAAAAAGATTTAGATAGAAACACTATACATTTACACTTATAATAAAATTTATATATAAAAAAACAATTTTGAACCAGATGACTAGAAAATTATCTATTAATTTTGAATTTTTAATCAAAATTTCTAAAATTAAAAATATTTTTCTTAAAATTTGAAATTATAAAGTAATTATACAGTCAGACCTCTCTAAATGCTACCCCTCTAAATGCAACACCTCTTTAAATACACGTCTTCTTTTGGGCCTAACTAATATTATATCTATAGATTTTTACAACCCTAAATGCAATACCTCTCTAAATGCATGTGCTAGAGCTGTTCCTGATAACGTGCATTTAGAGAGATCTGACTGTATATTAATATAGTGTAGTTTTATATGTAGACCATATTTACTTGGAGCATAAAGATATAATTAATTAGTAAAATTTTGAGAATAATAATATTTTTTATAATTATATTTATTAAATTATGTAAAATATTATTGATTTCAATTTTTTACTATATAAATCTTTCTTTAATTTCTAATAAAAGTTATAAAAAAGTGGCTTGTAATCAAAATAGTAGTTAAATAATTAAAATCAGCCTAGTAAATTATAAAATATAAGTATTTTTGCCTTAACAGCTATTTGTTTCTTCTTTATTAATATAAAGAAAAAAAATATATAGGCTCGGTGCTAAAAAAAGGGACCAAATTGACTATTTTTTTAAAAAATATTTTTTTATATAAATCAATTTAGAATAAGTTTAGAATCATTTTTTATTTAAGATACAAAAGTAGTTGTATTAATAAAATTTTGCTGTATTGCTCTTTAAAGTTTGCATTTTCATATAATTTATTATAAAATTTATAATATAAAAATTAATTTTCTAAAGATCTTTTGTTTTGTCAATTTGGTCCCTTTTCTCAGCACCTAGCTCATATAGTCACAAAAATTAAAATACTTATATTTTATAATCTATTAAGCTAATTTTAATATTTTAGCTGCTATTCTAATTGCAAGACACTCTTTTATTTACAACTTTTTTAAAAGTTAAAAATATGTTTACTTAGTAAAATAAAATATTTTTTTCAAATTTGAAAATTCTTTTTTTTTTTTTAAGATAAGATTACTTCTCTAAGTACTTTATTATTATGTTAATATAGATTTATATATAGTATATCTTATATCACCTGTTTATATATATTGAAAATAAGGCTATAATTAACTATCTATATCTAAAAACAACCTTATGTAATAATTCAAAATATTACTATTATTATAATTTATCTCTGATCTAGTATTAGCTAATATGGTAAATAACTTGCAAAACTTTTTTAGGTTCTTGTATTTCTATATACAATTATCTTTTTACATTATTGAGGCTATACTTGCAGTCTAATCATGCTATTAAGTTATTATTTGACATTTAGGTCCCTAATGCTATGGTGTAGAATTTTAAAGAATCTGCAATTTCTTAATTTCTCATAGTCAATTAAACTACTTAGCTTTTACAAAGTTCACTATTTTGGACTGAATATCTACAATTATTTTGTTTTTCTAAACTATATTCTTAGTTTT